ATTGCTTGTAAAGGAATTTTGGAGCATGATTGTTAATAAAAATGACCTTGCTTTTTGAATTTCTATATGTTTGATGAATGGATTATAGTTTTATTTCGTGGTTTGCTCTTGATTCCACCTGTTATATGTGTTGAGCCATTCCCAATTGAATAGCGTTCACCACCTCATGTCGCGGTCCCGTACTCTATCGATCTCCGGTATGTACGGTATGGGGCCAGGGGGCAGGGTCGTTACACAAACCACTTTAGTTCAAATCAATGTTGCAAAGATCACTGATCCAAATAAGATCTGATGGGTTTGGTCGTTTCGCTCTTGAATTAAGAATTTTTATGTGAAAAAACTTCTTCATGTGATTAAGTGTGACGGTATTTTTACATTAATTGGCTGCCAATCAGAGGTGAAAAAATGCCCAAAACCAATTAGTATGAAAATACCCCCACACGTCACCGTACGAAAGAGTTTTTTTTGCACGTATTTTCATAAAAGAAGAATTTCCATCCTCGAAATCTGGACCGGTGGTGAAAATTTGTAAATGCACATGATTCAACATCTTCGATATCATTTATTCTTCGCACATTAGTTTTGTGCTCAAACCGTAAAGTCGTAGAAATGCTCATGCTATTTCTCTGCTCCTAATTTAGGGAAAAAGACATCAATAGAGAGGCTAAGTCCTTTTTGCTACGAATATTTTTCAATTTTAGAGTTTCACTTATATGGTTTGGGTAAGAAAAAGTACGTTAAAAAGTACAAAAGAAAAAAAAATTTGCTTCCCCATTGTATGGTACTTAAGGGTCCTGGGAAAAATAGTAAAGGAAAAAATTAATTAGATAAAGGAAACCATAACTTTGGCCAGTTTGGCAACTTGATTATTGTCAAGCTAGACCATGCTCCCGTGGGAGCATAGTGTACATCTACTCCCTTGGTTCGAAGACCTATTTGAGAGGATTTTTTAATCTGTAATTTAGGGAACCATCCAACAATTGTTAGATGATTATTTTCAAAAGAAGAAAACTAAATTTTTAGTTTTGTAACACTTGAATTTCAACTTCTAAAAATTGGACGTTCTCTATGCATTCTTGATCTTGCATAGAAGGTGTAATTAGTTGAGGTTAATCCCTAAGTTAACGAGGTTACATCCCCAAAATTTTGGGTTTTAAAATTGATTCTAGATGGGGTTTTACCCTAGGGAGTAAATAGAAAGTTTACTCCTGTGGAAGTATAATATATTTTAGCTAAGCTTTATTTAAAAGAAATGTATATAATGAGACAATTTATTTTTGGTATAAGAAGACCACAAGTATCAATGACCATTAAATTTAAAATCGGGTAGTTTAGGATGTGTCATTGTTTAGACACAAAGTCCGAAATAAAATAGGAAAAGAGCCATCTCCCCGCTAACTCAACCAAAAATAAAATAAAATTCAAAACAAAAATTTTCAAATGTTATGACACATTTTTTTTTATTGAATTTCATATCTAATAGCTAAAAGTGATTGTAACCTTCTTGTCCAAAAAATAAATTATCTCATAATATACAATCCCTTATTTAAAATAGGTATTAGATACTATGAGACCATTCACAATTATTACAATGAGGTCACCGATTACTCGAACCATGTAACCATTTAGAATAGGGAAAATGTTTATATAGAGCGGAGGCTCTAAATAATCAAATTAGAGCCTATCTCAAAAATTTCACTAGAAGAGGTTTTTTTATGCCCAAATATCATCAAATTAATCATCTCGACATCAAGATGTATGGACATGAGAAAAAAATGGATTTCAAGTTCTGAAAATAGGGTATTTTGTAATGCATTTTTGGACCGTCAATTTTCAAGTTTTCATAGATCTATCAATCTATACTATTTTTGAAGCTTTAAACTTTGTAAATAAAGATGAAAAAATATTTTAAGGCTATGATAAAGATTTCTAGTATTGAAATTTGAAATCACATTTCTCGATACTATTTGAAGGTAGGCGCTAATTTGATTGTTTAGAGCTTAGGCTCTATACAATCGGGTCCCGAATAGAATACGTGCCTTCTATGTATAGTGGCTCTTTTATGGGTATATACATATAATAGAGCATGTGCACACAAGTTGGAATGATCAATGCAATTCTTAATGTGATCTCTACCGGCCAACCACACCAATTGGACGGTCAACGTTCCTTGGGACAGGATATACAGTTTCCGTATCCTATGATGTCATCGGCCTTTCTAAATTTTTCTAATTTCTAAGGTATAAAGGACATTTTGATAATTCTAAAAGTGAGATTGTAAGAGGCAATAGAGGCGTCACATCTATTGACAATTCCCACTTCAAAAAGGCCAATTAATATAGCAAGAGAGGGCAATACTCCCCATCCACATATTGGAAAATAAACTTAAAATAGCAAAAATCTTGAAAGAAACAAAAAATATGAAAGAGAATAAAAAGTCTAATCTTCCTATAAAGTTTTTTCAAGTTTAAAAAAATCAATAAAGGGTATGAAATAAAAAAAGAAGAAGAAGATAGAATTGTATACTATAAGGCTATTTACCTACGATACAAGATAGTCACAATTGCTCATAGCTGTCGGTTCTAAAATTAGGAGGTTAAAAGTATATCACAAAGTTTAAGAACAAATTATTGGACTTTGAACTTGGTCAATACCATATCCCTAGCCATCAAATCTACCGCTAATGGCTTAGGGCGATTTCAGTTTATTATAATAAAGGTAAATAATTTGATTGTATATTTGTCTAAAAAGAAAATTTATCAAAATAACCTAGTCTATCAATTATTTAACGTTTTACACATGTTCAACTATTAGCCTCGAGATGATGCGTATTTTGAGTGGCCTTTTGAAATTAAATAAAAAGAAATGAGTACCTCAAGATCATGTGTATTTTGACATGTATTTAGAAATTAAATAAGAAAATGAGCAAAATTTTCGACATTAATAGTTAATCTCTAGGGCGCAATTTAATAAATTTCCTTATCCAAATAAAGATAATAGCCATGTACACATCCACTATATCCATAAATGGGTAGAAATTGAACTATTGTATCTGGTGTGCATTTTAGCAAATAATACTATATGTTCTGTGTACCATATAAGCAAATAATACTATATGTTCTGTGTACCATATAGTATCTGTTTTTAGCTAAAAAATGATACTATATGGTATATATATTTGCCATCCACCATCCGTCCTCATCAAAGGAAGGTGGAGCTGAGCTGATGTACCGCTTCAGAGTACACAATAGTCTGGCTAGTAGAATCTTAGTTCATCTTGACCATCGGATTATGAAGATTGATGGTGGATGAGCGGTTTGTTTACCATATTCTATAAGAACAATTGTTTCATGCGGGCTGAACCGTATTTCTACAATATGCAGTCCAAAGATGTAAAGCATCATAGGTGGTCTATCTAAAAATAATTGTAACTAACAATCCATATGTTTTTTTAATATAATTATTATTTCTAGTTTTCAAATTTTTTTTTTTCATATTCATGATCTCCATGTTAAAGATTATATATTCTATAAAAATTAGGATCAAATTATATTTTTAAAATGTATTTATTGCCAAGCCAATATTTCTACAATATGCAGGTTGGCTGCATGCTAACCCCATCCTTACTATAAACCAATGTTCACAAAATCGGGCGGTTCAAATCGAAACCGCTCGGTTAGATCGGAACTGGTCACTGGTTGGTTTTGGTTTTGGCCAGTTTTGATGATCTGTCAGGGTATTTTTTAAAAAATTAAAAAATTTATATAAAATCACAAAAAATAAGAGATTTGTTTGTAATGTGCTTATTTTGCATTATTTAGGCGAAGATTGGAAAGTGTTTTGGCCATTAATAATTAATTTTACTTTTTCCTCTTTTTGAAAAATTTCAAAAAATACCCCCCGGCACAAATTGATTTTTTTAAATCTATTTTTTCACTAATTTTCAATTTCATTTATATGTGATTTGTTTAATCATAATTTTAAATTAACTTTTCATTTTTTTTGGTATTTTTTTTAATTTTTAACACATTTTTTACTTGCCGGGACTGCCCGATTAGGCCGGTTTATTGGTTACTCAATACCGGCCCTTGGCCGATTTGGTTTTTCGAACTGTGCTATAAACACAAGTAAAACTCCAAATAAATGAAAGAAGGCTGTAATTTCTATAGAGCCTATTCCTGATGAAAACAAAGTAAAGCCTACAGTTGAATCATCATCCAGACAACACTTTGGGCATTGAAAATCTCTATAATGGCTCTAAAATCAATTTCTACTATCAACTATGTAATTTGAAGCTCAACAAATAGTATAGATCCTGCAGATTTGTGAATACTTATTTTTAAGGCGAAACAGACATTTTACGTAAGGGAAAAGTTTATATCGAGCCGAGGCTCTAAACAATCAAATAAGAGCATACCTCAAAAATTTCACTAAAAGAGGTTGTTTTGATGCTCAAATATCCTCAAATTGATCATCTCGACATTGAGATATATGGACAAGAGAAAAAAAAATGGATTTCAAGTTTTGAAAATAGTGTATTTTATAATGTATTTTTGGATCATCAATTTTCAAGATTTTTAAGTTTTTATAGATCTGCCGATCTATACTATTTTTGAAGTTTTAAACTTTGTAAATAAAAATAAAAATACATTTTAAAGCTATCACAAAAATTTTAAATATTGAAACCACATTTCTTAAGCCTATTTGAAGGTAGGCTATTTGCTTGTTTAGAGCTTAGGCTCTATACAAACCGCGCCTTTTACATAATGCATTACAATTGACCGCTAACTTTAGGGGTTAAAATAGTTTTTTTGTTTTTTATAATCATAATCATCAAGGCGAGATGTGGATTTGGAGGTTTTACAAATCCATCATCGAAACTGCTATTTTTGGTGAGTTTTGAGGTAACACTTACTCCTAAACATTTTCTATAAAAGAAACCCACCCATGTTTTCATCATAAAATAAATAAAGAAATACCAGAATTTTCTCATCCTTTCATTCCCAACCTTTCGCCTCTCTCTCAAAAGTCCAAATTGTACATGCATAAATGTATAATACAATTGCCAGCAAACAACTGCTTGGCAGGCGTACCTCAGACTGAGGACCTCTCTCTCCCTCTCTATCTAGAGAGAGAAAGAGAGAGAGAGCATAAATGTTTGATACAAAGAACATGCCCATCAAACAACTGGTTCTGTAGGCTTATGTCTGAGGAGTGAGAAATGAGAGAGAGAAACATAGGGGAGGAAGAGAGAGAGAGAGGGACAAAGGGGGAGAGAGAAACATAGAGGGGGAAGAGAGAGAGAAACATAGACGTATAAATGTTTGATACAAAGAACATGCCTATCAAACAACTGGTTCTGTAGGCTTATGTCAGAGGAGTGAGAAAAGAGAGAGAGAGAAACATAGGGGAGGAAGAGAGAGAGAGAGAGAGAGAGGGGACAAAAGGGGGAGAGAGAAACATAGAAGGGGAAGAGAGGAGAGAGATTAGTTGTTGTATGTATTCATTCTGACTTGAAATCAGAAATGGGTGGTCAAGTGGGAAGAGGGTTTGAGGTTGTGTGGAAGTGATAATCGGTCAACTTCCCAGCTTTGTCTGGGTGCAACTCTGTCATGGAGTGGTGTATATTCCTGACCCACAAAAACAAGTAAAAAGGGATAAATAAATCAGAAACACCAATCAAACAAATAGAAGAAAAACCCAAAAAAAGATTCAAGAGAAAAAGAGATGTAGACTTGTCCCCCCCTTCTTTCTACTGCTCTGTTCCCTCGTTCAATGGCAACCTACCCATCATCACAAGAGAGAGAAAAGGAGATAGAGATTGGCCACATATGGGCTCTAGAACTTGCAGAGAGCGAGAGATCGCTCTGTGTTTCCTCATTCATTGACAACAATCTCCCAATGTGTTCTTGAAGAGAGAGAAATGCCACATGTTCATGGCCTTTGTAATTCTCACAACACAAGAGAGAGAGAGAGAGAGAGAGATCGTTTTTCATGCTGTTTCCTTATTCAGTGACACCAACAAAGGGACTTTAGAGAGAGAGAGCAAAAGAAGAACCTCCATTTTAATGAGTAGGTCTGCTGCGGTCTGTGCAGAAACAACAATGTGCCTTGCGGGAGCGTTTATGAACCCTTCCTCCACTCCCTTGTCGAACAATGCCAACAAATTATCGTAATATCCATCCACATTTAGCAACCCAACCTAAAAATCATATCCAAAATCCACATATCAAAAAACAAATAGAGAGAGATTATAAGTTAGAGAGCGAAGATAAAATGCTAAAAATCAGCATTAAAAAGATAGATAGAGAGAGAGAGAGGAGATAAATGATAAAACATGAGTATTTGAATGATAACTCGTGGGAGCAATTGAAAATAGCATATATTACAGGCTTATCATGAATCCCAAGCTGAGACCATGTTATCATCTCCAGAAGCTCCTCCATTGTACCATAACCACCTGCAACTTTTGATGTTAATGGAAATGACGAATTATGTAAGAAATAAAAACTGCATGAAATCTAATTTTTTATTATTTATTATTATTGGTGTGTGGGGGAGGGGAATGGACCTGGAAGAGCAATGAAAGCATCAGCACGTTTGGCCATTTCTGACTTCCTTTCATGCATATCTGCAACAGTTTTCACTTCCCCAATTGTTTTTCCTGAAATCTGTTTTGATGATTCTGAGTGTTGGTTTTTTCATGGTAATAAAGCCGTGGAGAGAGAGAGAGAGAGAGAGAGAGAGAGAGAGAGAGAGAGAGAGAGAGAGAGAGAGAG